GTTTATTTGAATTCTTTGTAAGATTATCAATAAAAGACTTCAAACGTATCTATATCTGTACATGTACAAGAACCATCAAAAATTATTCACAGAACAAAAATAAATCTTCTTTAGAACAAACCCAGGTAATGAAATGCAGATATGGATCTCACATGTGGAACAATCTAAGTGCTACCAGCACAAAAATATGGCTTTAAAAATAAAATAAAATCTTGGGTTTTGTTTTTCTAAGGTGTATTTCTCTTTCTTGAAATAAAAAATAAATTATTTAGAGCTATCATTGTAAAATAGTCATGTGTATTAACACACTTTTATTAAGGCCCTGGAGATGAAAAAAGGAAAGCCAATTTAAAAGGTAAATTCCTCACAGGTGTGGTTCAGGCTAATGTGCTGCTGTCTGCTTGAGTTAATTTTAACATAACTAGGGAATGTCTAAGCACCAGTCAAAATTTAAGCTTTGCTATTTATTTCAACTTCTCTGCAGGACAAGGGGCTATTGACTCACTTAGCATTTAATCTTTTGGTGAACTAGAAATTGAAATTTTTCCCTTGGGAGTTTAGGAATGACACAGATATGCTATTTATACACAAATGTGTACCCCCATACAGATGATGGAGGCTCCTAAAACACAGCTTCTGTGTTAATCTTTCTACAGCAGGTACATCTGCTTCTAGGTCCCAAACTAAAAAATTCCCTAGGGAAAAATGAGGGCATTTGATTGAAAAGTAAGAACTGGGTAGGAAATTAAAATGCATGATGAAATTTGGGCAAAAACTACCATTTTGCTTTCCTTGGGTGGCTTACTGCATTGCCAAGTCCAGCTAGGTTAGTTATGCAAACACCTGAGGACTAACTGATCAGGAACCAAAACTGCTTCTTTCTGGATCCCACTGATCTTCACTGATCTGAATCCAGATCAGCGAGATTCAATGGTCTTTCTATGACACCCTGAGGTATCAATAACGAAACCTAGGGTTCTTGAGACAATGTCAAATCAAATCAATTTCAAGTTACTTTAATACTCACACACACACACACACACACACACACACACACACACACACACACACGTAACACATATGGTACATTTTTTTTAAAAAAGGGAACGACTGTCATACAATCTAGTAAATGAGAACAAAATCTAAACAATCCAAGAAAGTTTGGGAATCACTGCTCTGTAGGTGGATTAACATTCAGAAAGAGGAAGCCCCAGGATTTGTGTTTGTGGGTGTGCACGTGGTGTCTGCAGAAACTGTCTCTCCACGTATCTATGTATTTTAAGTGCAGGCAAGCTGTAAATCCTCCCGTTTCCTTGAACCGCTGGGCTATTGAGAAGGCTGCTGTGCACAGTCCCCTTTTGGATCATGTTATCTTCCTCAGGTTCTTTCACTCCTCATGAGATATTTATCATATCTCATGCAAATTTCATCACTGTTGTCAAGAGCTCCATAACTGGGTCATGAACACAAGAGAATGCTTCTGGAACTAAAGCAATCACTCAAACACAGAAAGAGATTCTATTTAAAAATTCAACACCCCAGTATATCTTATTAAAAAACACACCAAATAACTGCCCTAGCTAGTTTGGCTGAATGCATCGAGTGTCGGCCTGTGGACTGAAGGGTCTCAGGTTTGATTCCAGTCAAGAGCACATGCCTGAGTTGTGGGCTCGATCCCCAGTATGGGACATGCAGGAGGCAGCCAATCAATGAGTTTCTCTCATCATTGATGTTTCTATCTCCCTCTCCTTCTCCCTCTCCCTCAGGTCAATAAAAATATATATTAAAAAAAAAACTAGTAAAATAGGTCTTTCCAATTGACATATCAATAAAAACAAATTCTTGGGTGACGGGCGAGGGACTGGACGGCAACTGTCTCATTCTGGGGCTTCCAAAAGAGGACTGCTCCCAAGCTGGTGTACCTCTGTGGACAGGGTGGACAGAACTGCAGATCCACAAGCAAAGACCACAGGTAGACTAGGATGTGAGAAGCCCGGCTTCCAAAGTCAAGCTCATTCTCAAGGGCACACAGTGGTCATCACAGAAAATCCTGCTCTCCCTTGCCCTGACAGCATCACAGGGAAAGATGGAAGCAGCCCAGAAAAAGCTAATTCTGACCAACTCCATACCAAGTGGAAAAAAAGCCAAAAGCTACAGCAGCATGGCTACCTCATTTTGCCATCTTTCTTGCAGACAGATTGCCCTAGACCCCAACGGCACCTGGGCGATAGAGCCCTGCACACAGACAGTGCTCGAGTTGCCTAGTTACAACCTCCCCTCTGCAAGTGCTTAGTATATTGCAGAGACTCAGGGAATATGATGCATCGATGGAAATGTAACTCCTGTGGCCCATTGATATAAAAGGGTTATATTCAGCTCTTTTCCTGAATCCTATCAGCTCTGTTCTTGTCAGTGGCTACACTTGATTGGTAATGGGACAAGCTAAACTTAGTACATGCCCCCTGATTCCAAATTCCACACAATCCTGTTCTCTGCAGTGCACACAATGTGGCGATGTGCTGGGTAGAAGTGCAAGGCCAGGCCATCTGAGTCCACCCGCTTCTTCCCCATGTCTCGCCTCCCATTTGCACACAGGCTGGTACCTACTGGGGCTGAGCAAAGCCAATGAAGCTATATCTCCTTAAAAAGTCAGCTGTTTCTGCCTTCTTCCATACTTGAGGGAAAAAAAAAAAAAGCCTTTCAGAATAAGCTCTACAGATTGCAGCATTTTCTAAAGAAAAACTCAGAAAAATATTTGTATTGAAACAGGCTCAAAGGATAATCTAACATTTAACATCTGGCAACAGCTCTGAACTTCTAGCTTATGTCTAACTTTATTATTTTTTTATTCTCTTCATTCGAGATAACCTGATAATAGAGGGCTGCATAATCTATCCAAACATTTGAGCATTTAATCTTCCAAAGTAGGCAGCTCTAAGGAGCGCCCACATGCCAACAAGATAAACTGCATCCACCAAAAACACAATTGATGTTTTTGTGTCTAGGCCCCTAGGACAGGTAAGTTTATCAGCCGTCTGTAACCCATAACCAACATCTGAGAGCTTCCGAACCTCAAGCAGCACATCACCCATGTTACATACGTAAGGACCATGACACCAACAAACTTTTGCCAGGTTTTCTGCAGCACAGTTAAAGGCTTTTTATGAAGAATGAATTAGAATTAAACCTGGCTAGAGCTGAGAAACAGCGGACCTATTTTATGTTATCCTCTCCCAACAAAGGGCACAACTGCAGAATTGGTTACCCCCACCCCCATTTAAATAAGTGATTTTGACTACAGTGTGCCCTCAGTTTGGAGAGGAGAGAGAAGAACTTATAAAATAACTACCAAGGGTCAAGAAAATACATGGGTACCAAACATGTGGGCATGAGGTCTGCAGATCAGATAAGCACTGTGAGAAACTCCTGTTTGAGATTTCTGACTGGACTGGCACAAATGGGAGTGTTATGAAGGGAAATGCTTTAAAAGTTCGTGGGTTGGGTGGCTGCTGAGATACAAGGACCAACACAGAGCCCACCTGAGAGAGGGTACCGCTAAAGTGTCAGAACATAAGTTGGGACATAGCGGAAGGGACTCGGGGCCGCTGCCTAGGCTTCCCTCAAAAGAGGACCCAATAGATAAATATTCTCCTGTTCCCTTCCAAATATTCTGTTATGTAGAAACACTTACTCCTGCACAGGGCTCCCTCCAGTCTTTCTTCCTTTTTAAAAATTTCCTTCAAGTTTACCATTTAAAAGAGCATTAACTTGAGAAATGTTCTCTACCAAATGAAACAACTCCTTAGATCTTGCTTAAAGAGATTCAACACACTTTTAACATTATATCTCACAGCACAGAAGGCATGAATGAGTTCTATTTGTGTGTTTATATGTACACATGTGTGGATATATATGTATATATATATTTGTATATCTAATGGCTAATATGTAACATTCTATGCTTCTGATAATCAGGGTTGCATTCAAGATGACAATTCACACTTTTGGAAAAAAGGAAAACCATCGGCTTTCTGTCCTACACTAAAGCCAAGGATGACCACTGGTGAGACAGTAATTACTGACAATCTACTGAGCCTGGGGCAACACACGGAACGCGCTGCCCCCCACTTCGGGTTTCTTTTCTTACAAGAGGAGTCATCACTTTTCAGGGTGATGCTTCAGATCTGGATTTCCTTCCCAAATTTTACCTAAGTGATTAAAGGACCAACTTAAAAGTTAAATATTGAGATAAGATTACCCTGCCTAGAGATATGCTAGTATAATGAATAAAATCTTTATCCCAAATAAAAATTATAATTTACAAATAGAAAATGTTTTGTTTTTAAATCGGAAATAGTCAGAGATTCCTGCTATGGTATGGTTAGCCCTTTTCTGTGCGGAAGAAAGGGTATTTGCTTTGGATGGTTTATGGACAGCATATTGGAAGAACCTCTCCAGAGGAGAGTAAACCCTGTGGGTGACGCTGATGCCACCATGGGGGAGGGAAGGGCAGTGGGTGTGGGAAGGTGGACATGATGTGTAGAGACACAAATATTTATAGTTTTGTAAACTCTAAAGAGGAAAGAGAACACCCTTTATTACAACTGGGGTAAAAAAAAACAGCCCCCTACCTAGAATGGAAAATTCCCATCGGCTATAGACAGAAAGGATAAAACATCAACAAGAGTTCAATAGAACTCACTCCTAAAGTCCAGTTTTGATGCAAGAGCTCTCGTCTGTGTCCTCTGAAGCAGCATATCCCCAAAGTGGAGTAGCTGTCCATCCAGAGCCAGTCTTGGTTGGTCAATGGGATTAGATGTTTTGTTTAGACCTTAGTATTTGCATGTTTTCCTAAAGGACCAGGGGGCCGGAGAGGGATTTTTTTTTAAACTGGCAGATGAATCCCTGAAAAATTCATTCTGACAATGTTCTATTGTACGCCGTGAGCTTCTTCTATCAGACAGACAGACACTGGGTCTCTACCTACTGACCCACTGGGCTCATTTCTCACTCATACAACTAACAACTGCAGTGCTTTCAACAAGAGGAAAACAATAATAAAAATAGCAATAATTAAAAAGGTAATCTACATTATTAACTTCCTTTGGGTATATTACAGTGGTATTTTCTGTACATGGCCCAGAACTAAGTTCCCTATGTACACAGAGACATGGGGGGAAAGCATCGACCTCGGAAGTCTTCGCCTTATGCCCTGAAAGACAAGGTTCCTTTTTCAATTGAGAGTTTCTCACCTCACTGCTGTTCTGAAGTAGCAACATTCTGTAAACCTGGTGGGGTTGGGGGAAGGGCAGGGGACAGGAGAGTGGGGACATTTCCTTCTGTCTCCTCCCACAGTCTGGCTAGTCACCAAGGCCGTCAGCAGCTGCTGTTTTTGAATTCACCATTCTCCGTGATGGAAAGCTTGGTGGGGTTGGTGGGAGAGAGGCCATTTCGGACCTGCATGCTGTACCGCTCCTTCACCTGGGTCAGCGCGCTCATCAGTCTGGTGTTGGCCGAATCCAGGGACACGATCCGTTTTTCCTACAACACACCAATCATGGCTTTAGCCTGGCTCCACACAGGAAATCACACCATAATACTCTTTAGAATGACTGTTCTAACACTTTCTATCACACCGCTGGACGCATGATGCTTTCTGGATCAATGGAACGTCTCTGCCTCTTTCTGCACACCGAGTCCAACGGGTCTGTGCTTATTTTCTCTTTTTGTCCTGTCAGCATAGCAGGATGTGTTATTAATAATCCCGCAGGACTCTAAGACATCATGGTAAAGTGACACCATGTGTTACTTCAGACTATGCAACACAGGGTCAAGCTGCCCGACTGTATTCAGTGCTTTTGGTCAAATTTAAAAACATGGACATTGGATGGCAGAGAAAGAAGCACCAGAGGTTTCATTTCACAGAGAGGTGCAAGTGATCTGTGGGTCCGTAGCCCCCAAAGAGGGCACATCAGTCGTATTTGCAGAGAACTCACATTGTGCTCAAGATAAGAACAACACATGGTGGCGGCTTATAGTCACCAACAAAGTGAGGATGCAACACGCAAGAGGGGGGAAAGCAGCCAAAAGCTCAGACCAGGGAGTTACTTGGATACAGGTAGGGAGGTGTGGCCGAGAGGGGTGCCGTAAACATAACACATGAAAACACACAGAGAACACAAGCTCCTGGACTCATTCCAGCTCAGAGTTACTCCAGGAAAGCTACCCAACATGGAGAGTGCTTCCGTTTTAGTTTTGAGTCTCTGAAAAACAACAACACACGCTTTAGAACCAGTATTTTGGAGCCAAAGGGTGTTGAATACACACACATTAAAAAAATAAAAAAGAAAAGAAAGAAAACCTGAGGGGGGAGAAAAAGCCCCGCCCCCACAAAAAAGCATCTCAAGAAAAGTAGGGCCATCTAAATAAAAAAAAAAAAAATCACTCTACCAGCGAGGAAAATAATTCCATAAGTTAATGCCTATGCCCATAAAATTAAAAAGAAAATGGCAAATGAGGAACAATCCTCAAAGCCAAAAGATGCTTTCCTACCCCAAAGCTTCCGCATTTATGGGGGAAAGCATGGTGAGGTGAGTCACGGTCGGGCTTGGAGAGGAGAGGAGGACGAGGCCTTGGTGCTGCTCCTTGCTGTTGAAGCCAGCAACACAGGGCCCATGGGGGCTCTGTAGGGAACTCACTGCAGTGGATATAGAGTTAAGACCACTGCCCAAAGGAGTGGGGGATGGGGGATTTAGGTAAAAGTACAGATTCAGCATCAAATGATGCTTCCCTACTGTGGGATGGGGCAGGGATCTGTAAGGCAGTAGGGTGGTGATCATAGTTTCAACAGTATGAAAACCAAAACCCAGCTAATGCTTACTATCATTAAAAAAAAAAAAAAAAAAAAAATTCTTCCTTTCCCTGATGGAGAACTCAAGTGGTAAGAACCCAAAATCAGCATTATTAACTAACCACCAATCTTATATGGTTTTGACATTGGAAGGTGAGTATCTTGTTAGAAGGATAGGCAAAACTCAAAGAAAAAAAAATCCATGAGGCTTTAAAAAATGATATTAAAAAAATTATAGCCAGTGGAATTTACTGGGATAATAAATATAGATCTTTTCCAAGTCAGCCAGTCGGTAAGGACTGGCCCATGGTTATTAGAAAATAAGGACTGGGAGCCAAATCTGATGTTTTACCCTATGATCCCTACACAGAAAAACATAATTTCTTGAAATAATGAAAAAAGATAATTCAACATTAGGCTAATCTATAAGGCCCCAATATTAAGGAATATTCGTTATACTAGCATATTTCTAGGATTTTCTAGGTTTATAAAAAAATTAGGCATTATAAAACATCATTTGATTCTTAAAGGGTTACAAAGAGGTTAAGGTTGAATGTAATTACTTATTGACTATAAGAGTAACAACAGAAGCTAAACAACTCCTCTCCCCCAAACCGATAAAGTTTCTAAGTGGAAAAACTCCCTTTTGTAATTCCCCTCAAAGCCAACTTCTCAAAATAAAACAAAAAGTAAAAGAAAAAAAAAATCAAATAAGGGATTTTTGAAGTTCATGTTTAATTAACAAAAGATGCTCTGACATTGTGATTCTGCCTGGATTGAGAGACAGAACAATCTGGTCCAGGCCTGACAGGAAGGATGTCAAGGGTGGGGAGTCAGGAGCTGGAATGTGTAGGAGGCCAGTGCACTGGGCCAGGGCTGGGAGCTGCTCGGCTAGAGAACGACAGGGTTTACTTGCCTGTTTGAATAATCTCATCTCCATTTAGGACCTGTAATTTAACACAGTGGAGGTATCACTTGCAACAGTACCTAGGCAGCTGCTTGCTTCTCAGAAGAGGAAGCCCTTCTCTGTTCTCCACCTGAGTCACATGGAGAGATCCTGGAGGGGGTGAAAGGTGGCACAGTCCCTGGACTGATGTTTGAGAAATGTCCCTTAGTACCATCACCAGGCTCCCTGTGGCCATGCTAAAAGGTCCAGGACAGTGGACCCGCCCTCACAGATGAAGCGCTCATCCTCCCCCTTCCAGTTAGAAAGCGGCTGGCCCAGGCTGGCCTTGCGGCATGAACTGACTCTAGGAGATGGAGAGGCTGAATTCATGAAAACCAGTTCACTGGGCACTGGGCATAACATTTTCGGAAATGCTGGGCTCAACTCTAGTATAAGGAAAGATACTATATTCATTTCAGAAATGTTTTTTTCTACTAGTGGCACCAAGCCTCTCATTACAAATGGAACCAAGGGATGTTCACAATCTCTTACTTTAATAATATTTTAATGGCTCAGTATCACAACAGCTGGGACTGGGAAACCTTCCTTTTAAGGAGATTATAATGACTTTAGTGTTTGATTTGTGCTGTGCATGGTTCAGTGGTTTCCACATGTGTCCTAGTGGATTTTCCCAGTATTCTTTGGGGATCCACACTGGGTATCTGGTCGAAAATGTACTATACAGTAATGCCTGTGTTGAAATCTGTAAATTGATTATATTCAGCTAGTTTTGGTGTCATTCGACCTATTATTTGAGAGTGGTTCTTGTTGTTGAGTGGCCAGTAGGAACAGCTGGAAACTGATCTATAAAAGGTGCCTCTGGTTTCAGGCAAGTAGTCCATTTGAACAATCAAACCATTTGAACACTGCTGTCTTGAGGGATGGACACAAAATATTATCTAATTGAGCTAGACCACAAGTCTGGTGCATTGAGGGTAATATTTCTTCCATTCCTGATCAATGCCACACTCCTGGTTAGCAGACAGAAAGTCCTTCTTTTCCAGAGCATTTGAGCCATGATAAATTCAGTTCCCCTTCTTGCTTTCATTTTCTACCCTAGGGCTCCTACAGCATACCCAGTCATCTAGCCCTAGATGTCAACACAGGGCTGGGGTGGGCTCACAATGAGAAGCTGATGATGAAGCTGTCTTGATGAACAACCAAGAAAAGGGCAATCCTGCATGCAGAGCCACCACTATGACACAGCCACGCTCCCTCTGCTTCAGGCTAACACAATCTCAGGCCAGGTGAAATTATTAAAATGGTCTGTTGTATCTTATTGGAACTAAAACCTCTCCTGGTGTGGTGCTTAGAACTCTCCCTGCTTTATACTGCCATACTGAAAATTCCAAAGTGAACACTTATCAACACTAGTTTTCCTGGCTAAATTGCCCTCTTTCTCCAGGCTGTTTCTCCTAAGCCTCTGGGATGAGTTTTTATAGTACACAGCGAGATGGCCTTGTCTCCACTACCATTCCCTCCCTCACCCTGGGGACGCCTGAAAGTTTTTGTTTTTAAAGGACCCTGTAAGATAATTACAACAGAAATGTCTTCTGCGACTTAAGATGTCTAAATAGCCAGAAACTGCAGAGATTAAGAGTCCAAAATATTTTGCGAACTATGCTGACAAGGGAGCATCACTCGACTTCCAGGGCAGGTGTATCCTAAGGAGTACAAGGCCCATGGAGCATTCTTCCGATGGCTGTGCTTTAAAAACAACTCCACCCAGCACCTAGACTGGAGTTGGCAAGGGCATGTTTTAGAACAATGGGAGCTCTAACACAGGCTGACGTGCAGGGAAGAGAGCAGAACATGAAGTCCTTGCTCCCATTTTACAGCTGAGGGATATGGTATGTACTTAAGGGTGAGAAATGCACACCGGGATGGGTTGTCTTCAGGCAGGTGACACATTCAGTGGGTAGACCAGACAGTCTCAAAACCACACCTGCCTTTTGTAATTTGTTTCGTTCTAAGACGTGAGACTGTATGTTGCATTGATAAAGTGAAAAAGAATTAAGAAACATTTTCTGCCTGCTGGATTTTGTTCTGCACATTGATGTGTCCCTGTGAGGTACTCTTGGCAGTCGTCACACCATTGCTGTCACAGGTGTAGAGTGATCAAAGGCCCAGACTGATTTCATCAATCGAAAGAGGCTCTCTAAGCACAGCCAACAACCAAGCAAATTCCAAGCATCAATGCCAAGCCTTGAAACAAAGGAATAAGGAAGGGTATCTTTGACAACCTTGTCTCTCCCCTACAGTTGGGGGCTAGAGGTTGATGGCACAGTGGACGTGACTGACAAGACCGTGAACATCACAGCCAAGCAATGGTCAGTGGAGGTCACAAGCCAGACACATGCAGTTAGTTTTCACAGCTATTCCCTTAGAGAACGCCCTACTTTCCATAAGGAAAGATGTAAACCCCATCATGCACTAGGTTGAGATCTGTCAAGCAACTGTACTAAGCACGCTAATACTTTGCTGGGTCAACAGACTTGTCACTAGTAAAAGAAAGGAGAAGTGAGAGATCACACAGAAGTCTTCAAAAGGTAATGCTGAGAACTTCCCAGTGACCCATTTTCCAGTACATGCCTTGGCATGCACAAGGGACGGGAAGCCAGGAAATAACAGTTATTATAAACAAGTGCCTTCTACCAGATTCCGAGCCTGCTTACCTGTGCATCGATTATTTTCTGCTTTGCATCAATAACTGCTTGCATCTCAGCATGATCCTTCTTTAATTCCTCTTCCACAGCCATTAGCCTATAAAGTGGCAGGAAGGACATTTCAGCATCTTCAAAGAGAGGGCTTCATAATGAACACAGAGGACAAGAAATCCAAACTCACCCTAGTTCAATATTTCCACTCCATCCCAATCAGAGATCTGAAACTGTGTGCTCTTTCTTCTCTCCTACCTTGGAATACACCCAACGTTCATTTCTCTACCTGTGACTAGGTCACTCACATTTTCATCTCTTCTGGGACATTATTTCCATGATCACTTCTTCCCTCAGATTCCCCAGCACAACTCACTTCATATTAAAATATCAAACCAGTCAACAAAAACCCAACAACTTCCTCTTAAAGGATAGCTGTCAAGTTACCCTGTGACGGCTATCCTTTCTGTTCCCTGCACAGGCTGGTCCTCAAGGAGGACTCTATACTTAGCGGGTCTAGTTTCTTTCTCATCTACCATTTACATCTCACCCCACTGAGGTTTAAACCTCATCAAACTGCCCTCAGTAAGACCGTTACAGCTGAAACAGCAGACCTCTTCTGTCTTTAGTTTACCTGACCTTCCACAGCTTTTGACAAGATGGAAGCACAGTGGTTACTGAGCCTGGACTCTGGAGCTTGAGCCTGGCTTCAAATCTTGGTTGCACTGTTAGGTGACCATGGGCAAGTGATTTAACTTGTTGCTTACTTCTGTATTTGTAAAATGAGAATAGTAATATGCCTACCTCAGACGTTGGCATTAAACAAATTATTACTAACAGATTAAACAATCTGTAAAGGACTCAGAAATGAGCCAGGCCCATAGTAAGTGCTCTGTGAGTATAGGGTAAAATTAACATTCCCTTAGTCTCCCTTGACATCCTTGGCATTCTCTTCTCTTGGTTCTCTTGCCCTCACCAAGAGAGACTTCCTTCCCTGTTTTTTGGAAACACTAAGTTAGTCGTGGACACTGAATACTTAGGTTTTTAAAACCCAGTTCTCCTCTAAGGCCTCTTAAGGGCATCATTAAGTTTTTATTTTTCCTAATTGTTATGATGAAAGAAAACAGACCACCTCTATCTTTAAAGGGAGTGCATAGAGGTCTCCCACTGGGAAAACTTAAGGGACAGAACCAGCCATCACCTTTGTACTAAGTACCGTGAACGTGCGCAGAGTTGCAAGCCGCACTGCTACCGTTCCTTGAGGAGTGTCTGGCTCCTCTTGCCACCTCTCTGTGTGCCTGGCTACCCACCCCCACGGCCAGGTGACTCGCTAACCTGCTGATGATGCTCTTCATCTGGCTGTCCTTCTCTTCTTGCTGCCGGCGCAGCCGTTCCTCGCTGTCCTCCAGCCGGGCCTTGTACTCCAGCAGCAGCTTCTGCATCTGCTGCTCCTGCACCAGCAGCCGGCGCTCATACTCCTCCAGCCTCCGGCTGGACACTCGCAGGCGTTCCTTCAGTTTAGTGATTTCCTGTTCATACTAGAGGGCAGAAAAAGGAGTTCCGCGAGTTGTAGAATCAGTGATTTGCTTTTGAAAAAAGAATCCCTCCTGAGCTGGATACCGTCCAGGCTGCCATACCTCCTATTGCTGATGTTCTTGAAAATTATCAACAGGCACAAATGGGAATGGAGCTCTGCCCTCCTCCTAAAACTACATTTATATTGTTAACTTGGCATTCCAAATCTATATATTAATGTGTCTCTCTCCATCCACATTAAACTACCAGCTCCTGCAAGCCACATCCAATCTGTGATGGCATCAAATAAGAGTAGGAAAATAAAATGATCAAGCACTCAGAAGCCTGAAAAATTACTTAAAATGAGCCAAAAGCCAGTTGTTGACAAAAGTTCTGTCATTGCCTTTGTAGTATCTCAGACCAAGATTGTTCCTTCACTCGACTAGAATCAGCCCTGTGGAGAACACCCAACATTTCTATAATGTTAAGCACTACTAAATAAATAACTAGAAATTTATGGCTATTAGACTACTGTAGACTATTGCTTCTTTCTCCCCAACTAGAAAATTATAAAATATTCAGGTCACAAGCATTAAGCCAAAGGTCTACAAGTACTTTAGGACTGATGGATACTGCCTCTTGGCCCTTTTTATGATGTGGTTCACCTTTCTCAACTTAGTTCTCCTTTCTCAACACACAGGTCTGTTTTCTCGCAAAAGCTTTATAAGAGCAAAGCTTTATATAATTAAATTGGTTACACAGCCCTTTATTATACTGAAGTTTCTGGGTTCAGGGTTTGAGTACACTGGAATGTCAAATTTCTAGGCAAGGTGAGAAGCTTAAGCTTTGTTATAGATGGTCTACATAAATTCATTAGGAATTAGTGATAAATCTGTACAATAATTTGTACAATGCAATCTATTTTCACATAATGTTTCATTTAATTGACAATCAGACAATTGGCTTCTTCAACAACATGGTCCTAAATGATGATTTAATCCAGAAGGTCAAAGATGACTAAGTTTGAAGACTGCATCAATGAGCATGTTTCGTATCATGCTGATAGGTAAGCAGAAGCTAGCTGTCTGGTTCTTAGTCAAATAAGATAATGCCATACATGGTGTCAAGTTCTTGTTTGATAATTTTTTTCTAGGTCAACTTTAAAAACAAAAACAAAAAATGAGTCAATAGATATCTTTTTTAAAAAAAATCATCTATAAGACCAAAAGTTCTAGAAAAGACAAAAAGAAAAAACAAACAAAAAGTCATTATCAAGTCAGAGAAAGGAAGTTTAGTCTAAGGGAAATTTGGGTCTTGGATGAAGAGTACCAACCAGTTTACAGAAACCCTATAAGTGCCTAAAATTACTAGAAACTTAAGAGTATTCTCTAAATTAAGGCAACCTACATAAAAAGAAAATAGACTGGTGCCCTCCACCCCAGCTTAATGGACATTTTCTGTATATTTCCACATGAGGACACTATTAGTTATTACTAGTTATTATTCATAGATATGTACATGATGGTCAACATAAGAGGTGGAGCTAAAGCTGGGGAGGGGCAGAGCAGGTCCTTGGCTAGACAACCCTTTTGTGGCCTATCACTGTGAGGCAATAACGTCAATAAAGACAGACTTGGTTCTACCTTCTCAGCATGCTTGGCTTCATCTTGATTTTGCTCAGTTTCTTCCACATCCTCTTCATACTGCCCATTGTTCAGAACCCAGGCTGCTGTCCTCTCTACTGGGGACATTGTGGCAGAGTCCACAGGTGATTGAACCTGCATCAGAAATACTTATTAACATCCCCAAGACAGCTCATCCACTAGTCATGTTTCACAGAGAACTAATGTTGGAAGCCATAACTATGATCCCTGTTTTCTACTATTCAATAGTAGTTTGAGCTAAAGTAGCCACCAAAACTAATAACAATTTCACTGTTTGGAACTTATTACATCAAGGCAGCTATTTCAATAGCTTTCTGCTTTATACAAATTAACAAGATGATGCTCGAATAAATTTTCTTTCCCTGTGATTTGTTATGGTGTTGAGTGCCTCAAAATGCACTGCAAACTAACAATACTCCTAAAAGGACACACTAAGGAGAAACTTTAGCCCCTAAAAACATATTAAAAACACCAGTTCTTTAGGGTAATCTCAGCTTTAACTGTTAAATGAGAAGTCATAAAAATCAGAGTGGTTTCATTCTATTGGTGATGGTGGTAGCTACTATATCTCCTGGATTAACAACGTCCAATGAATTATGAGACTGTAAAATGGGAACTGGGCATTCAGGTCTACTCCTATTTTATTGGTTTAATCTGATTTTCAACCCCTTCCTAATATATCCTAGCACTTTCTGTGGCATATGGGGGGTAGTAAATAACTGTTGAAAAAATAAGTGACCAATATTAACTATGCCTGTATTCATGATAAAACCTTAACATAATTATAAAGAGATGAAAAAGTAACATTGAACAAATCAAAATTAGTTATTGTGTTAGACTAGAAAAAAATAGAGGTGATTTTTGTTTCAAAATTATTTTTTGTTGTTGTAATATACTCTTCATATGAAAAAAAACTACATACTGTTTATATTTTTCTCTATTGGTCTTACATGTGCTAGTCTTATTTCCTAATTAGACTGTCAATATTTGAGTTATTTATTAATTAATACTTTAGACAAAATTCATTATAATTTATTACTAAGGGAAAGATACGCTGTTTTCCCTCTAAACCTCCTCTTAGTAATAAACTACACTTTATTATATAAAGTGCAGCAAAGGCTTTTCTCCAATAACTATTCCATCTTCTTCCTAAGCTGGATATATAGCAGAACTTATTACCTCCAGTTTATAGACAAAGACATTGAAAGAGAGGTTGGTAAGCTATTCAGATCCCACTTTGCTTTGCTGTAGCCTCAGGAAGACTTTTTATGGCCACTGACTTTCAATAGTGGATCATTAAAGAAAATGAAGGATAAAAAAAAGGGACAAAAAGTAAAGGAGTAGGAATTCCTACTAAGAACATCTTGCTCTTGAGATAAAGCTGTATAGGGTTTCTCTGGGAACAATCATAATAATACTTTAGGGCAAAAGGGCCTGAGGAACAGTTTCGCTGACCCTATGATTACTCATAGCCTGGCTATGCTGAGGACAACTGAGAAGGGGCAGTTCCCTGGTTCCTTGCTAATATTTACTATGTATAAATGAGACTTGTTGGTTTCGGCTTCTCCACAGTCTGAAATGGTCAGGTTCCCACCAATGAATAACAACACTTCTGCTATCAACACCAAAGATGGGTGGATTAAATTACTAAGTAAATGCCGAGAGTACTTGAAGAGGTTGGTTTAAGGGAGGGGGTCAACAAATCCAAATGTGAAAACTACAGCCTCATTCCAATAGGCTGGTCAAATACCAATTTTAAGAGATTCTTCAAATTTGAACTTCTAAGTTTAGGTAACATGCTATATCTGAACAACTCAGACATTGCAGATAAAGAGTCTTATATGTACAGAGTACATGATGCATGCAAAAAAAATGAAGAGAAAAATGAGAAAAAATAAATCCACACAGAGGCTGAAAAGGGACAAAAATTAAAGTTTCCTGGAAAAAAAAATCCCTCTGTAGATTGTTTTACTGGAATTTTATTTCCTTCTTACTCAGTAAATGGAGGAGACTGAGGCTAGTTACATGGCCAACAATGGCCGCTCCTTTATGCTCAGATACAAATGGAATTTGCACAGGACAAAGCCACTGATAATTGCGGACGCCTACAGAACAATCCCCACAAAGAAGTCCTCTAGTTTTGGGGAGAAAAGAATTCTCTAACACAATTTGCAATTATAATATGTAAAGGAATTTGCCTGAAAAATGCCCTGATTATATAGAATTTCAGAGGCTTCATGGGAGTAAGATGAGAAGAGCAAGCAATAAACAGAAAGGAATTTAAAAAAATAACAAATTCGAAAGAATGAACCATCTGCCTAGAAAAAGCCAGTGTAGAGAAACCAGAAACTTGAACAATCAAAATATAGTGATTTATGGTTTAACTGATATGAGGTGGCAGTATCAGCAAAGGCATAAGCAAAGGTGACTATTTAAAGCTGTGCTTGGACATCTCACTGTGGCTATGCCTCACTTTATGGCAATATAATATGGACATTCTTCAATGCATTAATGGCTGTGATAAAATTTTAAATTGGTTGTTTGGAGACTGTATACATCTATTACTGCCCATCTATCACCTATAGAAACATGTACTGAGTGCTATGTGATAGGTGTTATATTTTCCTATAGCACAAATATTATAACGAACAATTGAATAATCTGACTGAGTCATGAGCCCTGGGAATTATGACTAGAGGAGGAATAGGTGAGCATTCCTCTTTTCTGTCCAGGGATGGGCTGACATCCACTGTCAACCTTAAAAGTTAGTAGACATCCTTCCCTGTCCTGTCCCTTGCAACTGCCCTCCCCTGCCAACCTGGGTCTCCTCCAACTGTCCTCCCCTGCAGGCCTGGTTGCCTCCAACTGCCCTCTCCTGCAGGCCTAGTCCCTCCCCAACTGTCCACCCCTGTTGGTCTGATCACCCACAACTGCCCTCCCTTGCAGTGGCCATCTTGTGTCCACATGAGGGTGGCCATTTTGTGTGTTGGAGTGATGGTCAATTTGCATATTACCTCTTTATTATATAGGAGGGTAATTTTCCTTTTCTTTAAATGAAAATGCTTATTAAATCACATGAACTGGTAAATTTGGAAAAATACAACAAAATAAAACTGAAAAATTTAAGACTGAAAAAAACCTTATTTCTTAGGAAAGAATGGCTAACTAGAAAGTTTTGCCCAGGAAGTCAGCCACCAGAATCAGCTGAAGTTGGACATGTTTTCCATCCCTTCCTCTTTCTCTGCATCCAAGAATTCTGCAAATATTCTAATTTTTTAAACAATAATTAAACAATAGTTATCAAAGTAGGAGCAAGGACTCTGATCACAGCAGAATGGAGGCAGAAGCATCCAAATTAGTAAAGGCCTACGTATAAAAATGCAAATATATTAAAGAGATACATTGACAAGTTATTTGGCTGACAAAGGCCTTTTTTAAATCACAAAGCTTCCTAGTACTTATAAAGTATGATCAGGTTTCAAAAAAATTCAATAAATACAAAACTTTTTAGGAGAAAAATCTTTTTCAGATAAAAGAAATATTCCTCTCTCTCTTACACATACACACACACACACACACACACACACACACTCATACATATTCCTAAGGTTTTTAGTTTATTTCAAAGAACAAAATATATATTGTTGCCTCTTGGGAAACCTTTTTATCAAGAAGAAAATATTTTACCAATCTTATATTAATATTGGGTAAGAAACCAGCTGGTCTTGTGCTTGTAAAGCAGGGGTGGGGAACATTTTTACTGCCAAGGGCTATTTGGATATTTATATCATTCACAGGCCATACAAAATTATCAACTTAAAAATTAGCCTACTACACTTTGTCAAACATTTAATTAATTTACCCCTAATGCCTTTGCAAGGCCAGACCACATGATTTTGTGGACCTGTGGGCCACAAATTCCCTACGCCAGATGTAAAGAGAAATTATAAGGAAGTTGTAAATGTTTAGAATACTTGTCAACCAGCTGTGTATCTATCCACTCCCTTCCCTCCGCTTTACTTTGTCACTATTGATGTTCAGTTGTTTATTTTCCTAGCGATTTCCAGGAAAAGGCACAAGAGACTTGATATTTCCAGAGGGAGTTGGAGGATGGAATAGGGAATAGTTATATTAAACTCTTGGCTCAGAATACAAAACTTTATTTTGGAAGCTTAAAAAAAATATTTAGGGAGAATTAATGTCCAGGTCCCCAAATACTTTCTAGTTGATTTGGCCTATAGATTCCATAGTTTAAGTGTGTAATTATTCATTCAACATAATGGATCTGTTCTCAGTGCTGAGTGAAGGGAAGGCAAGGCCCCTGGGTGGTTGTTACAGTATCCTGAGGGTGATGAGTCAAGCTACATTCTGTTGCCTCACCTTACTAGAAGCCTCCCATACCTTTTATTTTCTCTTCCTATTTAAAGGCGGCAGAAATATTTTTAAATGGAGACCTTGTTTTGTTAGCAATGGGGTTTCCCAACAATTTCTACACAGACCTGAGGAGACAGTTGGACCAGGTAGAAGCCAGGTGATCCAGCGCTCGCCCTACCTGCTGTGTCTGCTGTCTCTGGATCGCTCTCACTTTGGGGACAGGGCTCTCTCTGGAGGAAGAGGACTGCTGCCGGGACCGGCTTCCATTCTGCACAGGCTCGGCCACCAGGGCTGCCGAGGCCACCGACATGCTCCCCGTGCTCCGTAAGGAAGCACTGTGTGGCAGGGACGGCGCGGCTTTAGCCCGGGCACCCAATCCGGCTTGGTCCATTTTTCGGATTTGCGCCTGCCCAGTACTATTTTGCCGGGGCAGAGCAAGAGGTATGTGTCTGTCTGGCATAGTGTGCCGCCTGGAGAAGTCCTCGCTCTGAGTGCTGCGTTTGCTGAAGTCTTCCATGCTGCTATTGCTGGGTCCACTGAGCTTGAAGTCCTCACTGTTACTTTGGCTTCTGGAACTGGCAGTGCTTAGGTTCTCCAAACTGGAATCCACGGAGGCTTTTGGCATTGCTGGGATTGGGTTACTGAGGTGATAGACAGGGTTTTGGAATGACAAGGGCTGGAGGCTGCCTGGCTGGCTCAAGGCCGGGTGCAGGGGCCTTCTGACCTGGGGTGCACTCTGGGGTGTGCTTTGGGTTTCCCGAAGCTGCTTGATGCTGGCGACCTGGGTTATGGAAAGCTGACTTCCGGTCAAGCGCAGAGGCACATCGAGCATGACAGTCGCATGCTCCACTTGAGCAGCGTGCGTGTCCTGGAGGTCCATGAGGGAGATGCTCCGCCCATTAGGAAGGCTACCTTCCTTTTCATCCTTCTCAGAATAAGTCATGCTCTGGGAGGAGGCTTGCTGAACCAGCAATAATGTTTTCCCCCTGAAATAGCTATCTGTGTTGTCCTGGCTTGGAGACTTTAGTTTATGCAAATCACTGTAGAAACAGAAAGAACCCTTAATTACTCTTGAGACACATTCAACATAGTTAAGATTCCTCAATTCAGGCATATGAACTCTTCTTAAGGCTCACAGGCCCAATGTAGATACTTACATCTAACTCAGATTTCATCCTTACGATTCTCAGAATAAAATCCAACATTTTTAGTTTTTCTCCAAAGAGGGGGAATAATACTGTGTATACCACTCCATCACTGACTTCCATTTTTACTAGCATTCCGACCATTTTGTAGTTTGAATTAGCCTTCCCATGGTATCCCAATTCATATTTAATTTGTTCAAGAGGAGAGGCTCTAAGTGCACAGCCCAAGGGCCCAGGCCAAAGGCACAAATCTTGACAACACAAAGTAAATAAAGTCTAAGCATCAATACTGTGTAGCTGAAACTGCCAATTACAAAATGTGTTTAACTGAGGTTCTCCAGATTTTTGAGTGCTATAATATAAGAAAATGTCAATTTCATAGAGCCCTTAAGTCTTCTATAATATTAAGCAGGACATAGTTTTTTTTTTGTTTTTTTTTTACTGTATTTGTTAAATATAACTTTACAATATCATTCTAGAAAATAAGTATCCTAGTTCGTGTGTATTATTATGACAAACAATTGGCTTTATCTCAGATCAGATGATTATTTCCAATTGCTCAAGACTTTAAAGTTTGTAAATTCAACACATAAGTTAAAAAAATATTTTTGTCAAACCTCTAAGCATTATATCTCTGGGACAGTACTTCAAATTCTCTTTCATACCTGTCAGTAGGGTCTTCAAATATTTTCTGTAGCCCAGAGGAGAGGCTTCCACTGACATTGGGACTGGAGTTGTGCTCAGTGAAGCGTCTCAGTTGCTGTTGTATTGGCGTGGGGTTAGTCAGAGACTTGGTGATATCAGCAAGAACTCGAGGGAGAGGTCCCAGTTTTGCCACAGTCGCCTGTAGGAAGGAATTTTCACCCTAATTGGATAATAAGCATTGCGACATCCACCACAGATTGTTTTGGGGACCATGATGCCCATTGATGAATGGGTGTAGTTGGAGGGAAGGGTAGGTGTTTGCATGTGGGAGTGGCAGGTTCATAATGCATTGTTATGGAGCAGCGGAACCATGGCGTCGAGATGGATGGAGGACGCGAAACAAGGTGCAGCAGACATCGAGGAAAGAAAGGAAATAGAAATTAGGATTATGCAAATAAAAATTAAAAGACATGCTCAAAACAACCAAAATATTGCCATTCCAACTAAAATAGGCATGCAAAGCAAACAAAATCTTTGGAAGGCTAGTAGGTCAAGCTGGGAGTAGGGTAGGGGGAGGATAGGGGAAGGACCAAATACCTTCTAACCAAAAGGCTAGTGTGATAAAACTTACAAAGAAAAGGGATTATGTGAAGAAAGAAATGCATGCCACATACAAGAAAGTGTTGCATGCAGGGGTCCAACACACAGTTGACATTGCTATCAACTATGCCATTTAATCTTGGGAACCCAAACCTATTATTGCCAACTAGGTTGGCCTAAGCATTACAATTAAAAAAAAAAGAAACCAACAACACACACACAGAAAACTCAAGTAAACTTTCTCTATAAAATATGTCTAAATGTACTCCTGGTTCCCAGGACCAAACAGAGATGATGATGATGATGATGATGATGATGATGATGATAATAATAAATAATAATAAATAATAATAATGGAGAAAGTGTATTTACACAGCAAAGCCTGTTAAAAAGACCTTGTCCCTGAATAAATCAGGCTTATTTCACACAAAAAATTGTATCTGCATCTCACTGATACAGCTATTCAACAAAGAATAATTTTTTAGTACTTATTTTATCCATCTCTGCCATTTTTTTCTTTGGGGAATTCTTATTTTCATGGCGTCTTATAGGACCGCTCAACTGATAGGCAGTTTTACATGGCTGGTTTTTCAACAGCCAAGAGATTCTTCAATCCTGCTCAAATCGGTAGAATGCGTACTCAAATGTCACCTGGAGGATGCCTTTAAATGCTCAACCTTCTTGAGCCACGACTCATTGTCAAGGGATTTACCCTCAGCACAGCTGCAATTTAAAGTCCAGCTGGCATTTCTACAAGTATAGAAGGGGTCCTCAAGAATAAGGAATAGTTTCTTATTTTACAATGTTTAAAGCACCCTACCATTTACATTTCCTCAGGAAAGTGGTCTTTATTAATAGGTTTTACACCCCTCAATATTATTGGAACATTTTTAAGGGTAATAGAAAAATGAAGGAAAATAAATTCTCATCCCAGAAAAATAACTTTGTCTTTTGAAGTTATTCTAACATACCACACCAACATATTTACAAAGTACCTGTAGTAAAGAAAAGCATCAATAAATAATTATTGTAATAAATCTAACCTAAATCTGTTAAGACTATTCTCCATTATAAAACCTATTCTTCTTTGCAAAATCCCAGAAGGAAGAAAATGATAGGCATGGTATACATCTAGTTATTAATATAAAATTCTTATTAAGATTTAATAATAAAATTCTTAGCTTATAGTCAGAAAATAAATGATTAAGAATTATAATTGTTTTTTGTATTCTTAATTTACATCTATAGAGAAAGAAACCACCAGGATTTTCAGATCCCACATAACTAACTTTGTAGTACTAATAATTATTTTAAGCCCTCTGACTAGCATAGCAACAAAAAAATTCTCAAGGATAAAGCTGATTAAACATGATAGCCCACCCTTATATTTTGAAGTCCACCCTTTTGTTAGAAATTGCTATATAAAGCTTCATCTCATCTTACTGCACATGAATAAGGCTACATACACTAATAATAGATATTAGTTTCTAGGCAAGTTTTTAGGTTTGTTATATATACTGTACTTATTTATTTATAGAAATATATACTCCATTAATTCAGATAATTACTTGAAAAATAGGTAAGTAATTTCATGGCTTTCTAGAATTTCCGGCTGATAGGGTGCATATTTCACTCAGAAATGACAACCATTTATTCTGAGACTTACAGGACAAAAGGTTGCTTTCAATTAACAGAAAGGTGAGTGCTATCACCCTGCGGATGCTCTGCTAGAATTCAGGTACATTCAAGTTCTCTACCTCCCTTCTCCCTTTACTATTCCAGCCTACTTTACCTTATCGAGCTGGGAAACTACTTCCCACAGTAAGGAATGCAAAACGGAAAGCTCCCGGCCCAGGTCAATGTAACCATCAAAGCCTGGGGTGTTTGAGATGGTGTCTGGATTAGAGATCTCCAAAAGAAAGCGCTTCATTCCACCCCACTCATGTTCTAGAAAATCATTCATGAATGCCATGTATTCTTCTTTGTTACCAAATCTAAAGGAGAGGGAGAGAAAATGACAAAGAATATATTCAGGAAAAGAGAGGTGATCATTTTGAGTTGACTGTACACAGAACTATAAATTGAATATTTAAGTTGTTTCCAATTCTTTTTTTTTTTATAATAACACCACAATGAAAGTCTTATAACATGAGTGACGAGGATCACTATCATCACCCAAATTTTAGATCTCATATATTTTTTTAAACAATGTTTTGTAAAAAGGGGTTATGATAGCAACACGTACTTGGCAAAGTTAGCCAGATTCTGAATGACCTTGGCAATCAGAGTCAGAGTCCGAGATGTGCGGTCATCAGGATACTCCTGCATTAGGTTGAACAGACTGGGAGACATGATGGCTGGGCACAGGAAACGCAGGAACAACGAGGCACTGATGAGCCGTTCGCTGATGTCTTGCTTCCCACGGTTCAGGCACTGCTGCTTCCATGATGCAAACACCTCTTTCAGTTCACGAGGGAAAACACTGGGGAAGGAAAAGAAGATCAAAATCTCTAAATACCCAAGGAAACCGCAAGCAATCTCACTCTGGCCCAACACAACTCTGGTCTAGAGCCAGGCAAGGAGGACCTAGGGGAGACCTTAAATGGTTTGTGGTTGAGAGGTGGTGGAAAATTCACAGAAGCCCAGATGGAGACTAGAAACTCAAAGCTGTAAAGCTCAGGAATTAGTATAAATTTAGTTTTGCAAACTGGGAAAATGGCATGAGGTTCCTGACTATGCCATCTGGCTTAATCAAGATAACCATAATCTCTCTAAAGACTGTTCATCCAAAATCTTCCAAAATCTCACCAATTGCTGAGGTTGGAGCAATGACCAAAAATAACTAACACATCTTTTTTAACACCAGTAAATATCTTAGAAACCCATTTGAGAATGTGGTATTAATATTGCACATAAACATTGTATTTATGTATATAGTTCAGAAATTCTTGGGCTCACAATGGAGATTTAGATTTTAGACAGGAAATGTATTAGGGAAACTGTCAATTTTCCCCCCTAAGCCCTTCCTTTGGTTGGGAAATAATAGTTAACACCATGATGACTTTTATATAGAAAATGAAAGTCCCAAAGGTGGTGGATGAAGCACTGACACCAGCTCACCAGTAAGAGTTGATGATCTTGCAGAAAGCCAGCTCACAGCACATTTTCAGGTTACTCTGATGGTCTATCAATTCACTAGATGAACATTTGCTGGGATCCACTTCACAGTTCTCATCTGACTCATACAAAGCTTTGATGAACTCCCCTATGTGAAGAGAGATGACAGACAGAACAATAAATAGGGTCTTCCTTAATAGAATAATAGGACTTAAGATTCCTGTCCTAAAATGCATAATGGGGAATCCTTCTGAGATCTGACAGGGAGGATACAAAAGACTGCTCATGAAGGGTCACTGCTTTGGAAACCAAGAGTTATCACCTCCAAAACATCACGTTTATTTTCATTACCCTGGAGGTGAAAAAACAGCAATCACCACCAGCATCATCATCATCATCATCATCACCATGATATTTACAAAAATAACAATGATACTATCAACAATTATATAACTTTAAATCTTTTATCTGAAACCACAAATAAATGAGCATAAATTCATTATTTATTATAAGGCCCCTTTACCAAGAGTGAATAGTGTTAATAGTGTTATTATCTTAGGAGAAAAAATAACCTTGATGACCGCACATCTTACTAACTAGCCCATTTAAGGTTTTAACTGCTAATTTTGGTACCAAACATAGATTTGAGTAAGGATGTCTAGACTTACCTCTTGTAATGAGAACAGTCATTCAATACAGCACAAGTTTGTAGCAGAACATCGCTTTATATAATCTGTATTGTTTTTCCAAATAGGTTTAGCTTAGAAGCCCTGTTCATATATCCTATTCTCTAAAAGGATATGCCCAACGTTATCTGAAAGAACAAGTTCTTACCTTACCTGTTTATCCACCGCTATCCCTATATATATTCTACTCCATGAGTCACACACTGTTTTGTGCTTATTTGTTCATATGTCTGTCTCATCTCTAGGATGAATACCTTTGGAGGTCAGGGACCAGGTTCTATTCATGTTCAGATCCCCAGCATATCAAATAGCTTCTAAAGCATTGCAATTGCTCAATACATATTTATGATGCCTGGTGCTATGTGTCCTTGGGTTTTTAAAGGCCTTTATGAAAGAGGGGATCTTTCAAAGACCCTTTCAAATCTACTTATATTACTTGATAGGCTCGTTTAGGCTCGTTATAATAGATTTTATGAAAGTAAATAATGATATCTGCAAAATTAAGTAGCGGCAGCGATATAAAAACAGCATTTTTCCCTAGCAAAATGGCTAGTACTGAGGTAAATGAAAGGTTTTAAAAATAGCTATGAGGATGAGAAGTGGTTATTTGAAAGAAAAATGCGTGGAGAACAGGAAACAGTGGTGCATAGAGAAGAAAAAGGGTTTGGAGCCAGTCAGATCTGGGATCAAATCCTGGGCACATTACTTAATGATTGTGGGTCTTGAAAAGTCACTTAACTAGTCTAAGCTTCAGCTGCCATATTTGGAGAATAGCATAATGACTCCCATTCTACAGAGCTGTGGTGACGATCTGAAATAATGCATGAAAAAAAAAAAGTGTTTAATATGGTGCCTGGCATTTTGGAGGGGCTCCATACAATAAGTATTGTTATTTGCAAATTAGGCAACTTTAAAATAGTTTTTCATAAAGTAAAATAACTAAAACTAGTAAAAGGCTTCTCAAAGTGTTTACCAAAAGATTTGTATTGGACATGCTCTCAAAGTCTCTATGCTATGTGCTTCTATACTATTTATCCCTTTTAAAGAGTATCTAAATTTAAAACCAAGTCATAACTGTCATATATGTAAAAATTGACCCACCTCTAGATTTATATTATAAATATTCTGTTTAGTGAGTTCCTTAAGGTTATACCATCCTGGGGGAATAGTACTAATATTAATAAATAATTTGTGATTTTTAAGAATATTTTTCTTTTATTCTTCAAGAAAAAGAGCCAAATAAATCAAGGGTCTGGAAGTAAATTGTCTAACATTGCAGCCTAAAATTATTCCCCCTCCCCATTATGATATATTTACAATCCTCCAAAACAGAGAAAATTATTTTTACTTTTGAAACTATGATTCATGTCTGATAATGTGGAAAGTACCACATTGAAAGGTGAATCTTTTATAGGTTTGTATCCAGAAGCTGCTTACCCAATAAAAAATTACTGAGACAAAAAAAATATTACTGAGACAGATTCAACAATCCATTTACATTTGCTCTCTTGCTGTTCCTCCACTGGTGAGTACTGCAGAGGCTTCTTTCAGCCAAATCTTGAGTAACACTCTAATCAGCTAGACCTAACAACACCCAGTAGTTTAGCCTAATTTGTTTGTCTTCTGAGGATGAAATAACTTAAAATCAAAGGGGAAGAAAAGAAAATGTTTTCCTTCTCCATACCCAAGGCATCATGAAGATACTGTTGTCCCACCAACTTGAGGTATTCCTCAATGGACTTGGTGGCAATGGTATTCTCTCTGAAGATCAAGACATCATGTTCTCCACAACGATCCACCTCAGACATCACCAAGTCCGTCAGAAAATCCTGGTAGAATAATGTTCAATCAGGCAGAAAGCAACTGAATAAATAATATACATCAGAAGAGACTGATGAAATATCAGACATCCTGGGAACCCTGCTTTAAAACTAAAGCTACCAGATTCATTTGAAAAAAAAAAAAAGTTAAGTCAGGATAAACTATTAGGTGTCACCACCCCTAAGTTTAAAATTCCTTCACAGATTTTTCCATTGCACTTGAATAAGGACCATAATTTTGAGTGCAGCTGACAAGTCTCCATATGTTCTGGTTTCTGTCCACCTTCCTAGCCTCATGTTGTGCCTCTCTCTCTGTATTCTGCTCCAGCCTCAAGGGCCTCCTTTATAGGTCCTTGAACACACCAAGTCTTTTTTAACACACAGTGCTGTCCATTCACCACAAATTTTGTGCAAATGCTGCCCTCAGTTTTGCTTCATTCACCCCATCATCCCTGCCCCGACTGTCATGAAGTAAATTCCTGGGATCTTTTCTATCTTAGTTCATACATCCTTTCCTCAGTGAAGTCTACTCTGACCACCACCACCATGAACCCCATTGAATCCCATAGTGCACTGCTCAGCATTTCTCACTCTAATTACACTTTTTATTTCTGTAATTACTTGATTAATATCTATTTACTCTAAAAGAGAGTAAGCTCCATGAGGTCGGAGACAGTGTCTATTTTTGTTCACCTCTATACAGTTTCTGCACATATTAAGTATTCAATATCTAACAGTTGCAAATGGTCCACAGTATCGACATGAAATTTCTTGAACTCAATACTTTAACTTATTTTCTAGGCAGTCTGTCTGCTATACCTCCACCCTCAATCCATCCACGGAGAAGGAAGGCATGATGAGAAATAAAATTCTTAAGAAATAGCTGCTTCATTTATTAGTGGTCTTAAAGAACATGTTTATGTTCAGTTTGAAATGTGATATCAAATATTTTAAATGTGCCGTAACCGGTTTGGCTCAATGGATAGAGCGTCGGCCTGCGGACTGAAAGGTCCCAGGTTCGATTCCAGTCAAGGACATGTACCTTGGTTGCGGGCACATCCCCAGTGGTGAGTGTGCAAGGGGCAGCTGATCGATGATTCTCTCTCATTGATGTTTCTAACTCTCTATCCCTCTCTCTTCCCCTCTGTAAAAAATCAATAAAATATATTTAAAAAATATTTTAAATGTTATGTATTCACTGGATATATCAAAGTCTCTAAGTATAAGAACAGGGGATACTCGGATTTATTTTAAAATTAAGCACTTTAACCACTAATGGGGCACTTTTAAGTGTGTAAAAAAGTTATAGATTTAGGAATCACTATTTAAACTCTTAGGCTAAGGGGCAGGAGGAAACTTCTGAAAGTGATGGTAACATTCAATATCTTGATTATGCTGGTGGTTTCAGTGGGAGCATCATCTGACAAAAATCATTTAATTTTTCAATTTAAATGGGTATAGTTTACTAATTGTAAATTATACCTCAATAAGGTTGTTTTAAAAATTCTGGATATATCCTGAACTTTGAGCTACTAAAAAGCAGAAAGAACATACCTTACAATTTCAAAGATGACAATTAAAATTTCAGTGATATCTCACCCCAAATTCTTGAGCTTCTTTAATGCCAGAAAACTAAAGATTACCACCAGTAAATCCAACCACAAAACTTATAATAAATAGGCAGACAGTAAGATAAGGGACTAATTGTTGAATATATCAGTATATTCTGATTTATATCAAGAAAGCGTAATAGCACTTTTGTAAATAAATTATTTTATCTGTGAATGCCTCTAGGTCTGAAACACAATTTTACTGTGGCCAATTTGTATACAATGTAATAGTGACTCAGCCTAATGAAGTGGATATGCCTCATAGAGGTGATAATTACTCTAGTTCAGGCTGATCAAAGACTATCTATCATTTGCTTGCTGTTCTTCATACAATTAGCACATTTCTCTTCCTTCATCTTCCTAAATTTTTTACTTTTATCCAAGAAGAAATATGATTCATATTACACCAATTATATAACATCCCTTGCTATTTTTATTTCAAATAAGGATTTTTAATCTCATGAAGAGGCTTGCTAATACCCAGAATGCTTCTGGAATACCTCCTTCTGTGACCAGGGGCTATGTCACCGGTTAATCTCAACTCAGACAAGATACAGTGAGGAGTAAAATCATTGTAAGAAACATCCTTGAATGTACTGTGGGATTATCACACCCATAACATAAATTTATTTTTCAGACAATAAAGAACTAGCTGTGGTATCTATCTTCAATGCAAATGAACTTTAAATATTTGTGATCTCTCCATTTTATTCCTTTAGTTTTATAATCTCTTATCTTTTCTGGATCTAAGAACTGCTAATAGGTTTCCTTCTCAATTCTTTTTTCCTTTTTTTTGAGCATTAGCAATAAGCATTTCTCTAATATACATCTCCACAGTATCATAATTTGGTTTCTTCATACAAAGTAGGAAAGAAGCTTTGGGTAACGTAAACTTCCTTTCCACTTACCTTGGCTCTGCCAGTACTTTGAAGAATGTGCACTAAGGCACAAGCCAACTCCTCTTTATTTCTCACACTAATTACTGGTTCAAGGACAGAACATAGCATGGTATAGTTGCTGGTGACAAATTCTGCAAATTCTTTGTACTGTTCCATAGGCAGAATGGTGATAGTTTGGAAACGTGATTTAATCCGAATAGAAGGTCCTCCTGTCTTTCCTTTGTTTGGTGTAGGTGTACTCACTGGATACCACTTTTCTACAAATTGGCGACCAGTCACACTGGCAGAGGGGATGTTGACTAGTCCTACATAATTATTCTTGTCCTTCTTTTTCTTTTTTTCGACATCTTTATAAATGTGAACTGTGATGCTATGAAGAGGTGGAAGGCTGTAGAATTCAAAATGTTCGCCCCAGAAAATATTGTCTGCTTTGGTCTTGCTGGTTGTACGAGCAAAGAGGGTATCATCAAGGCACAGTTCACAGAAATATTTTTTTTTAGGGGCAAGGTCCTTAGCTTCAATGATCCATAAACGAAGAACATTTTCAGCTCGTCTGCAATTGTCCTATAAAGAAGTAAAAAATCTAAGTTTGAGAGCTGAAATCCCAGAAAGACAACATTTTCCTTTTGAAATAGGTGATGTTGCTTATATATTTTATTATGAGTAACACTATATAATAAAAGCCTAACATGCTAAGTATCTGGTCATCTGTTCAATCAATCAAAGTATACTATGCTAATTGACATGCTAAAAACTCTCAACCGCTTGCTATGACGTGCCCTGATCACCAGGGGGCAGATGCTCCGACTGGTAGGTTAGCTTGCTGCTGGGGTCTGGCCGATTGGGACTGAGTGAGATGGGCTGGACATCCCTGGAGCACTCCCGTGGTCCCTCCCTGGCTGGCCAACCTCCTGCGTCTCTCCCTGGCCCTGATTGTGCACCAATGGGATCCCTCAGCCTGGCCTGTGCCCTCTTGCAATCTGAGACCCCTCGGAGAATGTAGGAGAGCTGGTTTTGACCCGATCTCGCGGCCAGGCAGAGGGACTCCATAGGTGCATGAATTCGTGTGCCATGCCTCTAGTCAGTAAATAATGAAAGGAATTGTTATACCATTGTTCAGGATAATAGGAAACTCTAAACAGAATGTATCAGAATCTTACAGAGCCATATACATTCTATTTTACTTGGATTAAAAATATCATTCTGTAACGTAAGTTCTTATGTAGCTAGCCTTGTGGCAACTAGACTGATATCTACAAATAAAAATGAGATAAGTAGTTAAGAAATTTGTGTTCTAGTCCCATTTCTACCATGTATTAGCTTCTGATTTGGGTAGGTTTCTTAAATTCTGAGTCTTCTTATCTACATTGGTAAAATCTTAATAATATCTGCGATAAATATGTTTGAAATGGCAAATGTGTTTAAAAGTCCTATAAAAATTAAGGTATTATCACTGTATTTTGTTTCTATCAATTTACTACTTATAGTTACACATTTTTTAGACCTCAAAGCATTATTACCTTATTTGGTTGAACTGTCCTACGAAGGTTTTCCATCCACTTATCTCTTTCTGAAGCGGAGTTACAGCTGAAGCATTTACTTCCACTCAAGTAGGTAACCTTCAACATAAAAGTTAGACACAGGAAAAGAAAACATAGGGCTTGAGGGCTTTGGTGTCCTAGTTGTATTGTTTATGAGTTAAGATATGCTCTGAACCGAAACCATACTACATGAAACCAGCTTTATGACTTCTATATCTACATCACATCTATTTTTTGCTTTGTATCCTTACTTATCTCCTAATGAGACAACAAAGACCAGTGAGAATTCAGCTTAGGATCCTAAAACTGTTCTGAAATACCAAAATTAAAAACCTTCCAGGACACATCTTAAATAAACTGCTAATGAATGTGTTCAATTCTGAGAGAGTTAATAAAGAACAACTATAAAGGGAAGAGAGTCTCTAAAACAGCTTATCCAGTTTCTTGGGACTGCTTTTGAGGCATCAGGCTCTATCCCTCTTCTCCGTCTTGTCTGGAACACCACAAACTCAACCTTCACTCATCACCTATTCCCCAGCTCCCCCTTCTCCAGTTTCCTATAATTGGAGGACCAAAAATAAATAAATAAATAAATAAATAAATAAATAAATAAATAAATATCACTATCTGGAGAGGAGAGAAAAAGATGAGCTGCATTAGCAGTCACCCTACCAGAGTTAGAAGCAGAGGATCACTTAAGTCCCTTACCCCTTGCCCATGTTTAATAAAAGCCTTCCACCCAGACCCTATGCACCATGTCTCATTCTCCAAGATTGCCCGCTCTCACTTCTGAAGTGCATTCTGTCATGTTAATAAATTACTGAGCTTTGCTAAATCTTTCTGTCCTGTTCTTGAATTCCTTCTTATTCTGTGACAAGGACCTAGATCAGATTGAGGCCTCCCCTGGGTGCCCCCTAGCATCACTTTCATTATAACATTGTGAGATAGTAATGAAACTGAAAAGAGTCACCAGTATTGGGTTATTGTCTTTGGAACCTATTTCTCCTCCACTAGGCAACTCACCTGTGATTTTCAGTCTTTAGGAGGTTAACCTGACCACTATTATTACTTTTCTTTAAAAATGGAACATGTGACCTAAATGCCTAGCAGTTAACACTGGGCTTCGTATACAACCTGTTGCACTGAGTTTCAAAATACAGGAAGTTCAAGTGTCTTATAATAAAAACACTAACAAGTGACTTGTCCAAATTGCTAAGTGTGCTCACATATTAACTCAATCTCAGATTATAATCTAGTAAATTAGATCAGATTATATATTATTCTGATCTAACATGATAACTACTAGCCACATATGACTATCGAACACCTGAAATGAATGTAACTAGTCCAAATTGAAATGCGCTATAAATGTAAAATTCACAGGAGATTTTGAAGACTTAGTACCCTCCTCCCTCACAAAAGAATGTAAAAAAAAAAACACTTATTGATAAGTTTTGTATTAGTGACATGTTGAAATGGTTAAGGACAATTTGTTCATTTAAGAAATCAGGCACCTGTAATGTGCCAGGAATTGGGCAAGGTGCTGGGGATTATAAAAATAAATAAGACATGGTCCCAGGTCTTAAACTACCCATGATACAGTTAGAAAAATTACCATTTGGTCAATTTCCTTTGAGAATCATTAAAATTGAGGCTTAGACTTTTAGGAGAAAAATAACAAGGTAATGTTTGATATCTTTACCAATATTAAAAAACTGAAATACAAATTTAATGTTATTGTTAGTCTTATGGGCTCTGCTGAGAATGTACTAAAGAACTTATTTACTTCAAAAGCAGATTAAGTCAAAAGGAATGAGAAGCCATCAGTGATAACTTTAACGACCAATATAATTAGATTGACAGATTTCCAAGCCTTTTCCCTAGAAGTAGGTAATTTCCAATAACTGAAAACTAGTTAAAGATGATCAAATCATCAATACCATAGTAATAAAATTACAGAATTATTAGATAGAAAATCTGCTTGTTCGACTACTCTTCTTTCTTTCTATACTTTTTTTTTTTTTTTTTTTTTTTTTTTACCTCGAAGCAGAAGTCTTGTCCAAGGATGCTACTATGAAGTGGTTTCACTGATACGGGCTCCCCTCTTCCAAGATCCAGACACTCCACTGCACTGCATGGGCTCAGCAAGGACTCATGGGAACGGGACTCTTTCAGTTTAGGCAGCCCACGAGACCTAACATAGAAAAAGATGTGTAAGACAGTGTGACTACATGGCCAGCAAGGAAGTGACAGTCTAATGCAGTGGCAGCTGACAAGAAATGTATAAATGACTAAGGAAAAAAAAAATGAGGAGCAAATTAATAGTTAATCTGTAACAATAATAACAGTAAACATATTTATGTGGCACATATAAATCGTACATATATTTGTGTATACCCACACACATTTTTTCCTCAATAAAGCAAAAATACATCCCATAATTTTATTAGTCTCAAGGGAGCTCAAAGCTCCAGTACAGACGTTTTTATCCTCACTCCTGTTTGGACATGGAGAAATATATACTATTCAAGGTTATCTTTATATATTCTTACTTATACAAAGGTATCAAAAGACATTTTTTTTCAGATTATCCTCTTCTATTACTGATAAAATAGTGGTTAAATCCGCATTCTGTTTCTTTCTGCTTTGGCAGAATAAACACACACACACACACACACACACACACAGTCAAAGCCAAGCTTTTCAGCACAAGACCCTGCCTTTCAAAAGGTCTGATTTCCATCTCAATATGACATTCTTTTCTGGCAAGCTTTTGGTTCTATCCATGCTTTACTGTATAAATATGAATAAAGAATAAAATGCCTTGAAGAAACCTCCCACCCACAAAAGAAATGTTCAAGCTCTCATCTAGAAGAACAGTCCTTTGTAAACACCATTCAGGCATCCTGACTTTGTTTCCTAGCTGTTTAAAAAAGAAGGCTGGGAATTATGACTCTTGTCACCACAGGAGCTAGAACTTTACTATCTTCCCCTTGGAGGAATTAGCAAAGTCAATATAAAGCATAATATTTTTGAATCCAGTAATGGAGAGCCATGCAGTTTTACCCAGTAATTATAGTATTTATTGGCTGAAAACCCCACAGTTTTTATATATATATATATATATATATATATATATATATATATATATATATATTTAGCAGAAGTACCTAGTAATAGGGATAAAAAGAAATGCCTTGTGTGAAGACATTCAGTTTTGTAAAACACATCAAATAAGAAGCTTCATTCGTTTCCTTAAAATAACCAAGATAACATTAAAAGGAACTGAAATATCAGAAATGTCAGAGTAGCTTTCAATTAAATTATAAAGTAAAGGCTGCTCTTTCCCTCTGTTTCCTTTCTAACATCATTTAATAAATTCCATATAATAAAAAAAATTTTAAGCAATAGGATTTTAGTTCATTCTTTCCATATATAAAAACCCAACCACCATTTAATGTTTAGACTAACAAACGTGTGCTCTGATATTGAGCAGTCTTTTTAAGGTCAAAAAGGCAATAATTATATTTAGCGTTAATAATACACAAAAGAGTGCACAAAAGCCAACTAATTTTGCATGGAAGTATGCACAAAAGCCAAATAATGTTTTATACATAAAAATGTAGCAGCTCCACATTTATTTCCTTTTGTTTTACTGGATAAGATAATGAATGGCATGTTATATAATGCAAAGACAGCACAACAATTATAAATGATTAAATGTTAAAATAATTTTACTTTAATGTAATTAGCATACAACTTTCCCACCATGCTTCATAGAAAGCTTGGTTGAGGCAATAGGATATCGTAATCTTTTTTAATCACACAGAAAACAACAATTCCAGCCCGTTTTCCCAGGAGGGAAAAAGCCTCACAACAGGAAACCAAAAGGCTATATTTAATACAGAAGGAGGGATGACAAAAGGCTCACTTTTATTTTTAAAATTCTCTAGGAAAATATTGTAAGACAGAAATTAATTTTGTTTCAAACAAAATAAATGTCTACCTACATGAAGCAATTGTACAGCCAACTGGCAGTGCAACCCCAAAGCATAGCGGTGGCACATGTCACGGTCTAACAAGTCACTCTCTGAACTACATCTCAGAAAACAGCTCTCTGTTTAGAAGACAAGAACCAACAGAAGATGGTTTCCCGGCTGCCTTCGAATAATGATAACATCTTTGGATCAATGTTTTCCAGGTGTAATTTCAAGTCCTCAATGGAAGCAGAACAGAAAGACAAACAGCAGAACATGAAATCATCTTCCAAACAGACAGCAGGATCGGTAGTATCCCTTCCTCTCTTTCTCAGACTGCATCAGCCCCTTAGGTAACACAAACAAGGTTCCTGGGCTCTCAGCTGGGCCTGTTGCCATGGTGCTACACCTATAAGGAGATTAGAGCTGAAGGCAGTAGGGAGAAGCTGCAGCTTGAAGGACTGACTCAGGAGCATGCTCTGCAAGCCTGACCACTTTTAAGAGGGGAAAAAAAAAAAAGTAATGGAAAGGCCCTCACCCATTTTCATTAACAATTTCTCATAGTCAAAGGCTGTAGGAAAAACTGAGGCAACCTGGAGGTGGAGGAGAATCTCTTTATTAGGAAACAAAGCTGAGAAGTTTTAGCTTGCTTCATATGATTCCCTGCCTCCTATTAGAAGGTATTTGCTACATCCTACTTTGCAAGTACAATCTTTCTCTTATATTTGTTCTATTTTCTGTGCAGTACTACTTCTGAGGTTTCTAGGTATGATTTTACATTTATCTTATCTGGGTTACACATTCTTTTTTCTTTTAAAAAAAAACTGGGTAAGTTTCTTTATTCGCTGAATTTCTAATGCTTAACAAACTTCATTTCAGTACTTAGGTCTAACTTCCAAACACACTATAAACAGATTTTGCAACCAAGTTATTTGGAATTAGAATTCAAAACTCCTCCCAGTTACTGAAATGGCAATTATTAAGAGAGTTCAGAATCTTCTATTGTTCACCATTTATGTATGTATGTATGTGCATATACTAACACCCACCCAATGAACTGAACTCCAAAGTCACTAATATATTCCACATTACTACTGAATAAACAAGCAAGCCCTTCCTGTATTGAGAAGAAAGTATCTCTGCAAAGACAGAAGTAATTCCCAGAGAATTATGAGAGAGATGTCTAACTGCTGGTTTAGGCCCCATCCCCAGGATCGGGCTTAAACCAGAAGTCAGACATCCCCCAAGGGGTCCTGATTGGAGAGGGTGCAGGCTGGGCTGAGGGGACCCCTCCCCCTGCACCAATTTCATGCACTGGGCCTCTAGTTTATACATAATAGGATCAGTACCCTCAAACCCCCTCTAAATCCTGCTTACCATCTCCTGTACCTACTTCATAAGAATTTATTTTCTTAGATCTGCTAAATAGAGAATATTAGCAGCTGGTAAGGCAGCTTACTTACTTCTCCAATGTAAAGCAAAATATGAATTTTTGAGAGAATAAAGGTTTAAAACATTTTTTCCAGTCCCTTTTGACAATGACCCTCATTAAGAAACCTAACCTTGAAAGTGAATCCCTTAAGTCCTTTCCCTGATCCACACCCACATCCTTACCCACTAATGCCAAATACCATATAAGGACAATTCAGGGCTCCAGTTTAACTATTTCTCGCTTTCATGAAATTGCTTTCCAGAAGTGATATTAGTTCTTAGTAGTTCTTGATTTTTGTCTAAGACCTCCCTCTAGCAATGTGAGATGTTAAGGGTTAAAAATCTAACTGCTTTGCAAATGAAGATTACCTGCAACTTCTGACCTCTTTAAGTTTAAGAGATAAACTACAGACTGGAGAGGCTTTCTATTACTTACTACAGTGCTTGATTATTATATTGCTTTAACACACATGCGTATCTGAAATGAATCTTTAAAGACAAATGTGAAGGGGTGAGGTATGAGGCACCAACACCATTGAATACAGTGATGATGAAGAAAAAGGAGTCAACTTAACTTTGATTAGTACAGTGTTAAGTAAAACACAGCTGGATTTTACTCAGCTTAACAATCCAATTTTTTAAAAAGCCAGATTTCCCCTGAAGCACCAATAGTGGTTGGATGTGCTAGCTCAATCTGCCACATGTTTAGATTGAGCTCTAAACTTGGGAAACTTTTCATTAAAAATGCTTATTGCCACACAAAATCCTGTACTCTAGTGCAGGTGAATTTCTGCTTGGCTTGGCAGTCCTGACTCCATATTTTGCCACTGAATTCTTGAAGAGAGAGATCAGCCATAAGTGGGTGAAACAATGTATACTTATATTCAAGGCAGTTTGCCTCACCTGAAAATTTCCCAGATAGTAATTAATAAAATTTGGTTATCCTAACACCAGCAAATTTACATGGTCTAATCATTTTTTTAAAAAAATGCATCTGTGATCTCACTCTGGGAAAACTTTAGCTTTACTTGTTTCCCAATTTCAATTGTTTTTCAAACCTAGTATCCAGGAAAACATCCAATGGATGTTTTGTTTGTAAAAACAGATCCTTTCCTACACCACAATGCTAAAGGTTTCCGTTCATGAATTAAAGGAGAAAGAAATTAAAGTTCATTCACCAGAGTTCTATTTGTGTGTCAAAAAAAAAAAAAAAAAAGTCCTTCTAGCTGAACTGGGTACCTGCTGCAGTTAAAGCCAGTCCCCACTGCTTATATTACTCACTGCTTTTATGTTAGCTTAAAAGAAACCCACACAACCAGCCACACAAAAAGCTATTTACGGAAACCTAACACACTCCTGATCTTCCTTCTCCCTGTTCTCTGCCTCTTGACAGGATGGTCTAATGAGCTCAGCTGGTAATGGTAAAAAAGGATACTTGTCAGCCTGAGTTGTCACTTAAAATGAACAAACACATGGGAAGGAAGTATATCATCATAGACAAAAATGACATTTAAGGTATTTTTATACAAATACACACATACATACAATGAATTTGGACACAGAAGGAAGACAAGATTATAAATATTAAAACATGTTCTGGAGGGCAAAAAATTCAACTAGCCTCCAGTATGACAATCTCTTTATAGAAATTGTACCATATTCCTTTTTGTCCTTATATTACAAATGGAATAAACTCTACTATGCCTACTAAACAATTTAATATAAACACAACTATAATGAATTAAAAAACACCCATGAAACTAAACCAAACCACATTCATAAAGCA